TACATTTATTTTCTGGGGCTTTACTTTCTTCTAAAAAATTATGAAAGCTTTTGTCTTTTGACAGTCATTTATATCTACTGTATTATTTGATTGGTAATGCTCAGGTGTTACAGCAACAAGAGCACAAGGAAGGTCACACAGAAATATGCAGCTACTGCCTTAGTTCAACTGTGCTTTCTGGTTGTCTTGGCATATTTTTTTAGTGTTTCAATTCTTTCAGAGCAAGCTCAAAGCTAATACAAATTAAGCAGCTGTGATTGAATTGTGCTACACTCACATGGAAGGCCAACTCAGACCACTGTGTTATGAAAATGGGAACATTAAGCAAAGCACCTGGCCTGGAACACAGGCAGCTTTCTCTTAGCCAAAGTCAAATTGATAGCATGGTCTAAGTAGACTTGATACAAAACCATAAATATCAAAGTCACTTTATGATAAAATATAAAGAAAGAAGGTTGTTTAAAAAACAAATATAATTACAGGACATCATCATTTTACCATTCTGAATTAAAGTAGCTGGATAACTTACTAGTTTACTCAATTGTCTCCACCACCCCTGTAATATAATTTTAAGTGTAGTTTAAGCAATGTATAAAATATATAAATGCTGTTTTTATTCAAAGGAAAACACAAATATACAAAGATAAAAATCTAGCAAGATGTCAAAGAAAAAAAAACATGATGCTTTTAAAAGAGGCAAAAAAATTATTCAAATAACTAAAATTGTTTTTGACAAATCTAATGGTCAAAACTCACACCTGTTAAAACACTGTGAGTTTATACATATGTATGACACCTAAAGGGCTCAAAGAATATTCCTGAAAATATAATTAAATAAAGAATTCTATCTAGTTTCAGTTTTCAATGTAAGTAGACACAGTATAAACTACATACATAAAATACCATAGCTCTGAACTCAAAATGTTAATTAAAATTTCTCTTTGTTTAGGAGAACAATCTAACTTCTTCACAGGCACATTCCTTTCAAATAATATCTTATTAAATGATATTAAAATTGGGGCTGGGGATATGGCTCAAGTGGTAACGTGCTCGCCTGGCATGCGCGGGGCGCTGGGTTCGATCCTCAGCATCACATAAAAATAAAATAAAGATGTTGTGTCCACAGAAAACTGAAAAATAAATATTAAAAAATTCTCTCTATCTCTTTACAAAATGATATTAAATATTTATTATTCCACTTGATTAGAGACATTATTACTAATAACAAGAGAACAACTGTGAGATAAACTCATTCTACTCATGCATATTTCATCTATTCAACAATCATTGTTGACTGTTTACTATCTATGCACTTGGGGTTGTAACAGATATTCATTATCCAATGAGGGAAACAGGCCTATAGACAAATAAACAATTGGAATTAAGGTATGTGTAAAGAAATACAGAACGAGGATGGAGGAAGAACAGATAGACTATCCTGAAGATCTATGTTTTTTCCTATGACTATGATTTGATAAAATAAAAATACATTTAAATAGTCCTCAAAACCAAGACCTTGCCTTAATATATGTGTTCAGGAGCCTTATAATAAGAAATACATATACTCCTGCTGTACTGTTACTTATTTTAAGATTTCATAACTTTTTGTAAGGAAGACATACTAAAGTTTTGAGCTTCCCTCTTGGTGTTCACTGTTCTTATTTCTGACTTATCCAGGATATGAGCAACCTCTGGCCTCTTTTGGATCTCCTTAAAGTGAACCACTACACTTGAAATATTAGCTGAAGGTTTCATGTGTGCTGGCCTTTTTTTTTTTTTTGGTGCTGGACCTTGTGAATGTGCCCACTAAGCTATACTCTCATACCTTGGGCTAACCTTCTATTGAAGAACCTTACTTTATTTTTCTAAATTAGGATGGTGATAGTAAGAGCAAAACAGCATTACTTAAGGAAAAAAAAATCAAGTAATTTACCAGTACTTAGTGATATTTACACAACTTGATTCAGTTTTTGAGCCAAAGACAAATGTTTCAATCAATGTATCTCTAATTCTTCAGCAGCCAACATAATTTAGTTAAGCCTGACAAACCCATCACAGTCTTGCCACAACCTCTCTTTCTCGATTCTCTTCTGCCATACTTTTCAAATCCTGTCTCATCAAATCCTTTCTGTTCACCCAGGTCAAAGGTCTCATAATGTTATCTTTGCAAAATGCTATTCCATAAGCCTGGAACACTGTATTTCCCTTGTCAATTATTTTCTTCCAGTCTTTGAAAATCAGTTCAAATATTGTTCCTTGATAAAATCTTGGGTTACATACTATCTTGTTAATGACCTGTGTTACCAGGCTTACCTACTTCTTGGTAAGTCTGAAAATGGAATAGGGAAGAATACGGCCCTTTATGAGAGTATATTGCTTGTTCTTTTAGGAGTCTACTTGATGAGTGGTAAACCTACTGTTCACCATGGTAACAACATCTGAATCCAAGAACCATGAGTACCTGTGCTAAAATATCACTTTTATCTCTTCATAAAACTAATATGGAAATGATCTTCTTTGAAATACTGTTAACTTAAGTATTTCAAAGTTTGGCTTCCTTTTGCATTGCTTTCCCATATTCAGAGTCCATTGTGATATTAATAACAAAATACATTGTGTTGATCTAGAAATAAGACATACTTCTAAATCAGAAATATGTTTAACAAAGAGTCACATTAACTAATAGTGTTATACATAAATTTAAAAAACACAAACATACTTCTACATATATCCAAGTACTGACATGCCTCATTTAGTCAGAATATTTTGGTTTCTCAATGGCAACCTTAAGGGCTATTAACAAATGTAAGTCTGTTTGCCTTTATCCTAAATGGATTCAAACTGTTTTTATGATTTCTTGACTTATATTCTGTTTTTCCCTCTACTTTTTTGTTTGGCTGGTAATCAGTGTATCCTTATGGTTATTTTCCAGAAAACTAACTAGGTGACCGCCTATGAATGGTGGTTAAGACTCCTAGATAGCTAAGTGCCTGAGCTTTGTCACTGCAATTCACTAGTGAAAGGCTTCTTCTTTTTCTCATTCCCTCATTTCTCCTCTCCCCCTCCCCTCCCCTCCCTCCCTCCCTTCCTTCCTTCCTTCCTTCCTTCTTTCCTTCCTTCCTGTGGGGATTGAATCCAAGGGTGCTTTACTACTGAGCTACACTCCCCACCCTTTTTATTTTGAGGCAGAGTCTCACTAAGTTGCTGAGGGTCTTGCTAAATTGCAGACATGGGTAACTTGCAATTGTCCTGCCTCAGCCACCCGAGTCACTGGGATTACAGGTATGCACCACTGAGTCTGGCTCTCTCATTTATTTCTAAGATTACCCAAAGAGTACCTGGTTTGTAAGCAGAACTAGTTTCCACATATGTCCATATCACTGCTTTATAATATCAGTTAAGAATTATTAGTCTTATTAAGAAAAATGTTAAATTAACTGTCACCTTATTGTTTAAATAAATGAAAATTGTGGTTCTTAATTCAAATTTAAAAAGTCTCACCATAAACTTCAGATTTGATATAGGATGTACTTTAATGTCACCATACTGTAGAGAAATATTCTTCTTCATTTATTAACCTTAAAAAATTTAAAGAATTTGCCATTTGCTTCCAGCATGATGGTGTGAAAACATCAAATTCTAACTCAATCTTAACTCAGTTAAGCACATCAGTATAGATTTACTATACTGTTATCTGGTTCATCAGGAAAATAAGAAGAGGGGAAAGAAAAAAAACTGCTGTTTCTATTCATAAAAAAAAATAGCTAAGTCTATGGTACAAAAAATTAGTAAAAGACACTAAATCCAATTTTGCAAAATTCCTGTAATAATTTGATAAAAATATTAATCTGACACTTGTGATCTTTTAAAATAAGAAAATGTGTGAAACTTTGAATGGTGTCACAGGTATAGATGTCCACAAATACTATGTGCCCCTAAAGTAAAAGAAGGGGAAATATTGTTCCTCAGAATTACTACAAAATAAAACAACATTTTGGTTAACTTACATACGAATGTCAGCTTATACACCTCAAAATATTTCTGCTCTAAAAGATCATTTCAACTTAAAAAAAAATAGTATTGGAATAAAGGAAGAAAGAATGTGCCATATTAACCTGAGAGAATGAAGAGAAAGAAAAATTTTCTTCCAATAGAAAATTTTATTTCTACTGTTTATTGATTTTCATTATACCTAGAATAATGACCATCCTTATGAAGCAATTCTTTCAATATAAATTTTAATAACATGATGTGTTTAGAAAGAAAGTATATTTTTTATCCAATAATCAAATAAAAGAGATGACTTAAAATCTGAATTACTTAATTATATCCAAAGGCACAAACCAGGCCTGAGCCTAGTGCTCAGCTGACTAGATCACCTGTGGTCCTTCCATCTCAGCATACTTTTTGTATTTAATATTCTCAGTACTGTTATTGGGTTTAAGGAATTATTGTCTTTCACCGTATTTCTTAAGCACTTAAATGGTCATCTAAAAGACAGCTTAAGCAAAGAACAGGCCATTTCTCAGCATTAGAATTTACAATTCTCTAATTCTTTAAAATTGCTTGGCAACTTTGTGAGTCTCACTACTCTGTGCTTATGATCTAGCTCTAGAAATTTTAAAAAAGAAATCATATCCCTATCTCTAAAAACAGAACTCCCACAAACATTTTTACAGAATTGTGATAGGTTTTCCCTAGCAACTTTGATAAAAGTATAACTGCAAAGATTTACACTCTATAGTTCACAGAAATTAAAATTCAATGTACTTAGTTATATATTTTGGAAATATCCCATGAGTGAAAACAATATTCTCTAAACTCTAATACTGAAAATAGTGGACATTCACCACAGATAATGTATGCAAACTGGTAACACTATTCTTTAACCTGGGTATTGTAAAGAAACTCTTGAGGTATAAAATGTTTGGGTTTTTTTAGCAGCTGTCTTTAATAAGAAAGGAAAAAAGCAAAATATTTTAGAGAAAAGAAACACTTACTGGTACTTTGAAGGGTGAGGTATTTGCAGTGTCCATGGAATTGGGTTTCTCTGATGTACTGGTCCCTGAGATACTCCGTCTACGGGGAGACCTTTCTGCTGGCACCTCTGGAAAAGAGGAAAGTTGAAACATCATTAACTAAGCACCCAACTTAGCAGCTTTCACCAAACTGTAAAATTAATGGTTTCTAAAAAAAAAATCTCTTTAAAGATTAATTACATTTTATCTCCTCATAATTTGTCTCTTTTTCTTTGTGGCATTTGACATTAGAGAGACTTGGTCAAAGTTAAAAATCTGTTTTAGTGTGACACCTTATGTCTTGTTTTGTGTAATATAAAAATAATTGCCCAAGTTTTGGTTAATATCTTTAAGCTCACTTAATATTTGCATCTTTTAGTATAAAAATCTACTTCTTTATCAGCAATACAGGAGTTAACAGAATCAAAAGAAATTTCTAATATTCTTGTGAACAAAATATAGTCTAGAGTTGCATATGATTTGATGGGGTTTGCACAAAGGTCAAAGTTCGGTTCTGTGCTGATAAAATAATTCACTGGATTGCAACAAAGAAGACTGAAAGCTGCTGCCAGGATAAAATAATATATATGCCTATGCAGATATAAAAATAGATCAGCTTCTCCTTGTTCTGGCAATATGACCTTACTAACTGAGATCTTACTCTGGAATCACAAATCTGTTTAAACTGGCCTAACAAGCTTAGAATTTTGCAGATGATATGATCTTCTCCAATTTAATTACTATAAACTGTACTAAGGCTGCATTTTAAGATTTTTTTCATAGAGCAATATATATATACGTATATACACACACATATATGCACATACACATGCACACACAGAAGATATATACATATTATACCTTTATCACAACTGCTTCCCATCTCCACTTCAACTGACAGACATATAGGAATCCAGCTTCTCAGATAACATTAGATAATCTCAACATGGACAAGGGAAAAAAAAAAAACCCACATCCTAAAAAAAGTATTCTGTGTTATCTTCCAGATCTTAAAAACTACGGAGTAAATCGTGACTCCGGAGACTGACATTTTGATTCCTGCTGTTCTCCCTTTAAAAGATAGATGCAGTTTAAACTTCCATTTCTGGCCTCCTGGCCCCTGGGATCCGTGCTACTTCCACTTAAGAGAAAGCATTTTTTCTCTCGCTCCCTCCCTGTCTTGCTCTTCCCCCTCCCTCTCTACAGCTTGCAGAGAGAGCAAGCGAGAAAGAAACACACAGGACTGCAGCTATTCATTCAATCAATCGTTTCGACTGCACATCCTCATTAGTTACTTTCAGGCTATTAACAGACGTCCAACCACTGCCTCCCCTCAGTTTCAGAAAATTTCACTGTATTACACTAATCTGCAGCAAGAAAAAAAACATTTCCTGAAATTTATATTCACCTAGTACTAAAAGGACACCATCTTACACAGACCCAGTAAGGCACACAAATCAATCCTCCTAAGAAAACCCAACTGGAAGTGCTTACCCTATTACTATTTGCATGCCAGACACTGATACTCTTTTCCATGACTAAAGGTATCTGCTCTGTGACATCTTGGCCAGAAAGATAAGAGGCAAACTGCAACATTCCTAATGGCTGAGAAGTTAACAAAAGCGTGTCTTATATGCCTGCAGTATAAGAATTCCATGTTATTGCTCTTTTTTAAAATTATGACCAATAACTGTAAGTCTCTCAACTTCTGTCTAACCGTCAATGGGTAAATGAGCCTTAATGTACGAAGCCATTTTTAGAATTAGGCACACATGACTTCTAACGCACATCTCTGAAAAAATGGCAGTATAATTAGCTCAGATTCATGGGAATGGCACAAAGGAATTTAAGCAAATCAGCTTGTAGAAGCACACTGAACAGCAAGACCTTCATACTTCAAGAATATGATTTTAGGGAAGCAGAGGGCGGTGCTGCGTGAGCTGGGCTGGCGGCTGGGCCCCGCGTGGCTACGGGTCCGCAGGGCGGTGGCGTCCCTGGTGTCTCCAGCTGTTTCCCTGGATCGCACGTCGCTGCGCCGCAGAGTGGAAGTGGAAGGAGAGAACCCTTACCATGCTCACCAAGCATCTGCCACTTCCCAGGCACTGCACTAACGGCTGAGAGTACTGCAGTGAGCAAGGCTCAGTTCCTTCTTATGCAAAGGCATTACAGTCAACTCCTGTGCACACCTTTGAACTCAGTGCGAGGTCTGCCCAACACTGACAAGATCATCTAGCTGGGCCTCTACAACTGAGAGCCAATGGCAGGGGATAGAGCCAAACCATGGGAGCTGGACCAAGAGAAATACGATGCTGATGACAACGTGAAGATCATCTGCCTAGGGGACAGTGCAGTGGGCAAGTCCAATTGGTGGTCAGTTATGTGAAAGCCAGAAAAGGATTCAGAGATTGGGGACTCATGGAGAGATTTCTCATGAATGGATTCCAGCCACAGCAGCTGTCCACATATGCTCTGACTCTGTACAAGCACACAGCCACCGTGGATGGCAAGACCATTCTTGTGGACTTTTGGGACACAGCAGGCCAGGAGCGCTTCCAGAGCATGCATGCCTCCTACTACCACAAGGCCCACGCCTGCATCATGGTGTTTGATGTGCAGAGGAAGGTCACCTATAAAAACCTGAGTACCTGGTATGCAGAGCTTCGGGAATTCAGGCCAGAGATCCCATGCATCGTGGTAGCCAACAAAATTGATGCGGATATAAATGCGACCCAAAAAAGCTTCAATTTTGCCAGGAAGTTCTCTCTGCCCCTGTACTTTGTCTCAGCTGCTGATGGTACCAATGTCGTGAAGCTCTTCAATGATGCAATTCGATTAGCTGTATCCTACAAACAGAATTCCCAGGACTTCATGGACGAGGTTTTGCAGGAGCTTGAGAACTTCAAGTTGGAGCAGAAAGAGGAGGATGCACCCGACCAAGACCAGAGTAGCAGGATCGAACGCCCATCCCCCTCCTGATCAGAGGGCTGCCTCTCATGGCTGACTTGGGGATGTATGGGGGAGCCTTTGGGAATACCCCTCCAGCTCTGAATGGAAAATCTCCTGGCCACCCCTGCTCAGCCTCCCATAAACTCGCCCTATAATATAGGATGAGATTAGCAATAGCATCCTGGACAGGTATGTGGTCCCCCAGAGCTGCTGGCAACAGAATTAGGGATTGGTGTCTTTCATACCTCCCATCCCACCCTGAGCTGGCCAGTGGAAGGAACCAGAAAACATAATTGGGTGTCTCTTCACAGTAAACACACATTTAGGTGGTTCTTGTTTTTTGTTTTTTCTTCCCCAGATTGACCTCAGGGAATGTACCTTGCATTTCTTACAAGAGAATGATTGCTATTCCCTGATTACCCCAGGCCCCCACTGCAGAATGTGTAAGGCCTTGTCCTTTTTCCCCTGTAGTCTCCTCAGTCAACTTTTTTAAAGATGTGTTTGAACAGACAGCTATTCATTCCAAGTTTTTGAGCACCTAAAAATTTCAGGAGCTCTTGTAGGTCAGGCCAAAATCACAGGAACAGGTTTGCCATTAAAATTAAATAATAGCAGGTAACAAGTCTAGCCATACTTGGTCATATAAATACACAAAGGAAAGTAAACAGTACTGGCTGTAAACAGCCAGACCATGAGAATACCTATTTTGATTATAAGAAAGCAACTTTCAGAACTGCTCCCTTTGAAGCCTCTCTATCAGCTTGGGAGTTATTCCTTCATTTCTCTAGGACAAATGAGATCTTGTGCCTCCCAGGGGTGGCCGAGGACTGCAGAGGAAGAGCTGTTCAGCTGCCTTTGAGCCATGCCCGTGTCCAAGGCTTGCTAGTGTGCTTTTAGGATCATCTTGGGCATCATTTGCATTGGGGTCCTTAATTTATTGTCTGTATTATTTCTGTGTTTACATTAAAGATTGAATTACAAAAAAAAAAAAAAAAAGAATATGATTTTACAGAGTGATTACCTAAGTTAGGTGATTCTATGATGAGTGGACAAGACAGGTGGGGAAAGGAGCTGGTGAGCGTAGAACACTTTTTTCCTCTGATAATTGCCTATAAATATCAAATTAAGATACACTAGACTATTACAGTATAGTATGGCATATTTTAATCTCTAAATAATTTACAATAAAATCAAACTAGGAGAAAAATAAGTTTCATTAAGGTAGGATACAGTGATCCAGTAAACAGTTTCCTTTATAAGCAATGTTCTGGATAAAGAAAAAAATTGAACCTAATTTTGTCACTTTTTCCCAACCATGTTATTCTAGATTTCATGCATATGAACCTATGAAGTAAATATATCTAATACTTAAACTATTTGAAATGATAGTGGCTAAAATGAGCAACTACATTCAAACTCTAATAAATATGGCATTTGTTGTACTTTTTTTTCCTCTTTCAATTCTCACATGGTATCATGAAAAAATAAAATCACAACTCCGTTGTAGTTTATAGGATGTTACTGAGTCCAGAGGAAGAATAAAAAAAAAACTTATTTTGGGAGGGGTGGGTACCAGGGATTGAACTCAGGGGCACTTGACAACTGAGCTACATCCTCAGCCCTATTTTGTATTTTATTTAGAGACAGGGTCTCACTGAGTTGCTTAGGGCCTTGCTTTTGCTGAGGCTGGTTTGAACTCAGATCCTTCTGTCTCCTCCTCTAGAGCCACTGGGATTACAGTGTACCACCATGCCTGGCATCAAATTATTTTTGAAGACTGAACAATTGCCACTATGGTGGGAAAATAAAGGAAATGAGGTAAGCTAAATCAACTAGTGAAAAGAAGAAATACTTTACATTATGTCTATTTCTCAACCCTCCATAGCACTGCAATTTATATCCTAATATAAAACAGGCCTTTGAAATATCCAGGTTCTTTAGTGCTCAGAAGAGTTATCCCCTAAAAACCAATGTTCATTGAGAAACAAGATGGCAGCCTTCCTTGTCAAGGACAGAATGGACAACCTGCTGGATTAGTCATAGGCAGGCCTGTATGTGAAATCAGTCCTAATACCTTTAACTTTAAATTTCCAAGCAGAAAAAGAAAGCTGCTACTATTCTCTTAAAGCTACATTTCTGCTAACTGGAGGGAAAATCTCCACTAATTCCAGTAGGCCAACATTAGAGAGTGCTCTCCCCACCCTCACATGAACTTGCACTGCTTTTCACCTTCTGTAAAGTTCCTCTCAGAGTCACAATATTTAATTATAATCACTTTCTATAATTGAGACAAGAGACACACAATATTGTTTCAGTAGATAAAAGTCTGAAAACTGCTTCATTTGCTATTTCATCCTTTAAAAATAATATTTTCATCTTCACATTGAAAGGCAGAAAAAACTTATATAATACCTGGTTAAGTTTTAAAGTTATTTCTTCATTTCCTTTGCCACTGAGTATGAACTAAGATGCGGTGACAATTTATGACGATGAAATATAACTTCAACATGGATCCATATTAGATGATGTATTGAACAAAAAAAACAAATTATTTGATTGCTTTTCTTAGTACCTCTACCAACTATCTATGTGATTTTGTTAAAACCATATCACCTTTCCTATCCTGGTCCTCATCATTTAATAGACTAGATAATTCAGACCAATCAGAGATGAAGACAAGATTAGGTTTATATATACCATGATGCAAAATTAGCTTTTTGGAAAAAAGGGGCTCCCTAATGCCAAAGTGAAGTAGTATTATAATGGATGCCATTTCTTTAACATACACATTTTCCTTTATGTCAATGTGCTTTCTTTGCAAAGTATGGCAAAGAAAGTGACAATTGAATAGGAGCAAATGTACTTTTTTTTTTTTTTTGGTACCAGGGTTTTTTTTGGGAGGGGCGGGGGAGGGTTAGGGGCACTCAACCATTGAGCCACATCTCCAGCTCTTTTGTTGTATTTTATTTAGAGACAGGGTTCTCACTGAGTTGTTCAGTGCCTCGCTATTGCTGAGAATGGCTTTGAACTCAGGATCCTTCTATCTCAACTTCCCGAGCCACTGGGATTACAGGCATGGGCCACTATGCTGGCCTAAAGGTACTCTGATGAAGGAATTATCTGTTCAACAAACAGAAGTCAGCCTCTCCTTTAAAACCTAATAGTGTATTCATGGTCTTTAGTTCACTTATCAGGAAGTAAATGCCAAAAAATTCCTGAATGTTTTATAAGGGAACAAAATAATTACGTATTTGGGAGAACCCTAAAAGAGTAGTTTCCTGGGAGATAGTGAATTCAAAATTATTATTTTCGGGAGAGAGAAGGGAAATTGCATGGAAATGGAAGGAGACCCTCAGGGTTATACAGTGGAGGGGGTAGAGAGAGAGGAGGGGAGGGGAGGGGAGAGGTGGGGAGGGGGGATGGTGGAGGATGGGAAAGGCAGTGGAGCACAACAGACACTAGTATGGCAATATGTAAATCAATGGATGTGTAACTGATGTGATTCTGCAATCTGTGTATGGGGTGAAGGTGGGAGTTCATAACCCACTTGAATCAAAGTGTGGAATATGATATGTCAAGAAATTTGTAATGTTTTGAACAACCAACAATAAAAAATTTAAAAAAAAAGGAGAAAAAAAATTATTATTTTCTTCTTTCTGCACTTGCTAAAGTTTTACAATAAAATGTATTGCTATGATTTTTATTTTGTTTAAAAGCATACCATGTTGTTTTTTTTAACCCACAGATCCCCATTCTTTATCCCTGTACTTGACATTTGATAGGTGCTTAAAAACATTTGTTAAATGAATAAATATTAAGAATGTGGCTAAAAAATAAGAACAGTACCATAAAATATGAAAGAATTAAAGAATTAAATTTTGCTCCTAGCTTCATTCTCCATGGGCAATTCTGATGAACCAAAAGAATTTTATTTTCCCAACTATTAACATCTTTAAGCTATCAAAATGCTCTAGCTTTCCAGTACCATGGCTGTTTTGGACTTGCACAATGACTTAACTATTCTTTTTAGTAACTAGATATGTCATTTCTGATATTTTTCTTTAAAATTTAACATATGTGCCACGTTTCCTCTCAAGATTGTTATTCTTGGCTAGCTACTTGAAGGCAGGACAATTACTACAGTTCTTTTGTACCTACTACCATCAAACGTATCTTTCCTTTTACAACTTATCCTCACCACCATCCCAGCCCTATTCAAGACACTAAAGCACAGGAATTTAGAATATTTCTGAAATTCCATTGAAATCTAATGAATTCTTGTGAAAACACATTTCTTAACAAGGTAAAAATAATCAGTTATATGTGTATGTGTACACTGCATGTGTGTTTATTTATATTATATAAGAACTCATTTATTAATTCATCTAATTTTCACTGAATGTCCACTATGTACTCATATCAGAAATGTATGCTTTTGTGAACTTATATGAAGTTAGGTTAGCAAACAATATATGATATTGCATATTGGAAGGTGATAAGTGTTTTAGAGGAAATAAAAAAGTAGTGAGGGAGATGAAAAGGTATTGTAGTTTAAAATATGCAGTTGGATTGGTGTGAGTCAATTCTTATGAAGGTAAGGAAGTCAGCCCTGCAGATTTACCAAAAAAGACCCCAGGCAAAAAGACGCTAGATGAGTCTTACAGAGTAAATTGCAGCAGGCAAGCCTGTAGGACTGTGTGCCAGTTAGTAGAGGCAAGTAGCAGAAAAAGTCTGAGAGGAATTGGGGCAAATGTTCTCAAATCAGGTTCCAAAAGCCTCTGAAAATATCTTAAATGAGAAAGGTGTATATTAAAAAATGATATTAAGCCAAATAATCTTAATTATCAACTATTTTTACTTTTTGTTAAATCTATTTAATTAAAGTTCATATATCATCATGTCATCCATGCATATACTTAACATAAATAACATAGCTACACATGTCATGAGTTCTGATGTCTACATTTTTAGAATTGTTTATCATACTTTGAAAAAAACAGAGAAAATGATTTTTAGATACTTTTTTTAAAAAAGAAAAAGATGTACTCCTATAAAGCTATTTAGCATCTCTTTTGTCAAAAATTTGTCTAGAGGAAAATATTTTATAATTTTAGATAATATTGAATGTTTGTTATGAGCTAAGCACTGCATCTATTTTCTGTCACTGTCCTTGCTGCAGCTGTTGGAATAGTTAACGCTATTACTCTTTTTGAGGAAGATGGAGATCAAACTTAAAAAGGAACAACCTTAACATAGTGAATGCTAAGTTCAAAAAATTCATTAAGAAAGGTGAACAAAATGTAGAAAGAGATTTAAAAAGTTTTGATTTGGTGAACCCAATGATGTAAAAAACCAAAATATCATAGTAACATTCTCAAATTAAGGGAAAACACTGCATATTCACAGATGTATCTTGTATGTCTCATCAGTTCATATTAATAGCAACCCAAGCCAATTCCTAGTACTTTTTGTATACAAAATTATAAAACATGAACAAATGTGACTGATTGACCAATGATAATTGTTCAAGAGACCCCATAATATTTTTTTTTGTTTTTTTTATTAGTTAATCAATTTATTTTTATTAGGTATATAATATGACAGCAGAATGCATTTTGATTCATTGTACACAACTGCAGCACAACTTTTCATTTCTCTGGTTGTACATATGTAGTGTCATACCATACCCCTTAATATTTTTGATACTATATTTTGGAAACATGTTCCTGATGTTATTTTCAAAAAGGGAATTCTTCAGCTCATTTCAGAAGTCTTTTTAAAAATCAGTGCCTTTTTAACCAAGCATGATTTAAAAAGTGAATACATATATACTACCAAATCTCTGTTTGTATACCTATTCAAGTCACTAAAATTTCAGCATGTATAGTGTAGCTGTGAATGAGTCCACTTCACTATAATCTATTTTCCTTTATACTGAATAAATGATAACAACAATGAACAGAATGAGATGTTGGTGGCTCTA